TCATCACAGGACAGCAAACACTCAACCCGTGTCCTGTATGCTCTCCCCTCTGACCGAACAGCTCTGTTTCTCTTCCATTTACTGTACAAATCTAAAAGTTGCTGTAATGTCATCATATAATTGCATATTTATCCTCTCTTTCCAATCCGAAAGACCCTGACAGATCCTTTCCCTGATTCCTTCATGTCTCTTCACACTTCTTATCTTTCATTCTTCTAGTAACAGTGAACCCCATCCCTTTTCCAGAGCAGTTTCTGTTGCATCATTTAGCACCCCTGTGTCTCCCACTGCTATATCTAGCCCTTTGCATTTGTGTGTTTGAGTGTGTCACTGTGATTCTGAAAATGTTTCAGAAGCTTTTGTGAGTGTCTACTTGATTGTTCCTGTGCAAGTAACTTTGTGTGAGTGTGCGAACTGTCAACCTCTGTCAGCTTTGTGAAACTGCCTTTGGTTGTCCTCAGGACACTGAGTGCGTAAATGGCTTGCACTCATGCAAATATGAACAGTCTCTCAGTGGGTGGACAAAGAGCCAGATGGGATTTTCACAAAGCTTTCTATTTAGCATGAGTCAAACATGTGTCTTAGGCAGGGCAACACATCACCGAGTGGCAGGACAAGGACAATGCAGTCTACAGTATTTCTGCCTCGATGCAAAGCCACTCGTACTTATCTCTGTGTGTTTCGGTGTGAACCACTAGCAGTCACCATCAGCACTACGCCAGTGCACCCGACGGGCTCCAAAGTTATGCTTTACATTGGGAAACTCACAATGTGGTCTGGTTTACTGGCTGAGCTACATCCCTGCCCTCATCCATAGCCACATGCTGTGGCTAGTGACCGAAAGTATAAGACTGCAATTACAAGCAGCAGAGACTAGGTTCCACTTAAGAGTGTCTAACGTATCCTTTGCTGGTAGAGCAGGTGATCAGAAGGTGCACAGAGCAGAGATGATTCTCCTTCACACTGAAGGAAGCCAATTTAGGTTCGGGCATCTGTCCAAAATGCTTTCTGCCCACCTCCCAGGTGAGCTTGTTTTAATCATGTCCAACTGGGAGGAGATCCTCTGGCACGCCCATAACATGTTTCTTTGTTGGCTTGGGAATGCCACAGTGTTTCCATATAGGAAGAGATGAGCTTTAGTGGACTCAATAGATGGATGAAACTCTCAATGAAAATACTAACATGCTGGTGATAGGGTGGCAAATTGATTGCCATGTCTTTCATCCTGGCTTACTATGTTACTACACTGACATGAACTAATTACCATTGAAAAGAAAGTCCAGATGTGGTTCGCCAGAATTTCGATATTTCACAAACCTCATCAGGATTCATACCCTTAGACCATGAATGTCTGAAAAAAGTTTCATGAAATTCATCTGGATCAAGCTGTGAACTGACTGACAGACCAACTGTGGAATCTGTAGAACCATGCCATTATCCTGTCTAAAAACCTAGCACTTTGAAAGGAGCCTATGATGCACATTGTACAAGTAGTTTGCGTGTGCCTTAATTTATTACAGCAGACCACGATAATCTAAGCAATCTCATACATGTTCATACATGATAGAAGTGAGTACGTAATACAGAAACATATGAAACAACATACATTGGTGCTATTGGCGCAAAAGTGAACACTATTATATATGTGAGAATAGGGAATATACTCTTTTGTATCAGCTCAGGTCAGAAACTGTCTTCAATAAGGATAGTGGTAAAAATTTTCACTAAGTGGGGTTTTTTTATTTGCCCACCTAGCATAGCGTGAATAAAAGCCTCATTTCCAGTAACTCACTTGGTCCTGCTTTAGAGAAAGGAGACACAGTGGCTTCTATACTTTCCTAGATTGCATTCATTTTATTCCACCTATTCCCCAGTCTCATCTAAAGGTTCACCCACAAGCTGTGAGTCAGACGGCAAAATGAGCCACCCACAAACCCCTCCCTTCACCCCATCTGTCTATCTAAACAGCCAATTCAGGGATGGCACAGAAGGTACGTCAACTACGCAATAACTAATTATTTGGAAAATCTAGTCAGAAGACAGATCTCTGTAAGCCTAAACTTAATAAGGCAAAGGAGTATATAACCTCTGTTTCAACATATGCTTTTGCTGACTCCTGTTGAGCCAGCTGCTACTGTGTGCAGACAATATGTAACTTGTTTACAATATAAATTGAGCTGTTTTCAGTGCAATTGTCTACCTGTTGCAACCTTTTTAATAATCATTTCTTGGTGTCTTTCCTTTGCTTTCATTTTAATAAAATTAAAAAAACTGGAATATAGTGCACCGTGGTAAAAAAAAAATTACATTTTTGATATAGTTTTTGCATTGAAAATATTTTAATGCTGAGGGCATCTTTTGTAATAATGGCCCCTTTTGTGCATGCATGAACACCAATAAATATCAAAGATTTCTGTCCTCCCACTCTGCTGTCACTATTTTCTGTCTCCACTGACTGAGTGTTTGGATAGCAGTGCACAATGTGTTATATAAGCTTTGTTAAACAGATCAAGAAATTCCCCAGGTCCCACCTTATACAGAAGACAAGCTGTGTTTCACTTAACTGGCTTCCTCATTACAGCTGATGTGTGCACAACCAGTGTAATGGAGCATAATCTAATCATCCTGAGAGAACTGGATACATAGAAAACAATCGACAGTAAAAACGCACCAATATACACCAGTGCTTAAATGTATAGATGTACGAATGGACTCTGAAACACTTTCTGAATGCGCAGGCACTCATTCTCACACGCACACGTATCAGACAGAGCTGGACGGCTCTCCCATTTGTTGAATAATGCATTAAGAGGCTTGTTGCCACAAGGAAATGATAAGCCTTGCTTCTCATGGTATAGAGGAGGTTTAATTATCCGGTGTCTGTGTAATCACATGGAAACAGCTTCCCACTCGTCTTTCATTAGGCCTTTTATAGCCGTTATAGCTGAGTGGGCACTGTTTTATGAATTATTGAACACATTTTGTCGTGCACATGTACATCTTAAGGCCTCAAGGTTGCAAATTTTCTTCAAACCAGTGGTGAGACAGAGCAAATGTCCTCCGCTAGCCTATCTGGTCTCTTTCATTTGAGGAGTAGGAGAAAGGACAGGAGCTGTTGTGTCATGTGCTGGTTTTGGGTAAACACAGACAGAAAGCCTTAAAATAGATTTTTTTTTTCTCTCTCTTTGTTTAGACTGTCTCTGGTGCTGGACAGATGGGATTTCATTTTGCACAAAGTGATGTGTGAAAGAAAACGATGCTCCGGTTGCTGTGCTTAAATGATACTGCTAAGAGCCGCCAGACACACATTCTGCATCCATCAATCAGCAGTGAAACAACTTCAATATGTAGTTTTTATACCAGTCAGTTCCGCTAAAGCTTTGCTGAGCATAAAAAAAGGGGGGCCTGAAAAAAAAAAAAAAACATGATCTGAGACATTTAGGTCACTATAAATTGCATGCTCCTGGGAGTTTATTTCCTGTGCAGTATGTGCTTGCTTGGACTGTACAAGAATAGTTACATCAGAAGGCAGTTCTCACGCCACTCCTGAATTATATAAGTTTTTCTCTGATGGTATCCACCACAGTCTAAGATGAGGCGAGCCAACATTATGTAAATTAAACAATTAGTCTTCCTCTTTCCCACTAGACTAGATCGCTTTAGGTGAAGCTCCCGTTGCTTGTGCACATTCCTTTATCTTGCTGTATGATACGTTGTGTGGATAGGTTCGCTGCACCACACTCTTCTGCATGAGCTTAGACACTGTTTTGAAATTACATACATTTTTGTGACATATTATTTACTTCCAAGTTACAACAAAATTATACTCAAAGAAAAAGTATTTTTTCCAAATAATTTTACTAAAGCATTTCATTATAATGTAATGTAATATAACACCATGCAAGTGACATGTAACATTATTTACAGCAAAAATGGACCACAGTTGGCATAGTAAGTAGTAAGAATGCTTTATGTTTAAATGCTTCAATCACACAGGTCTAGAGGCTGGTTAGCGATCATGTAGCAACCACTGGTTGGAGAATACACATTTTTCCTCATGACCAGTGGTTCGAGTGGTTGGTGGCAGTTGCTGTGAATTTGATTGTCAAATCCCTCTTCATGCAAGCCTTTCAGAGACCTGCATGCAAGTGTATTCTGTGACAGATTGGCGAGTGGTTACGAGTGGTTAGCCGTCGCAAAATTGAGTGCACAGGGGTATTTGGTGCTACATCAAAACATCCTTGCAATTGCTTTGATTGCTAGCAGGTTGCTAGGGTCGCCTGTAGCTTGCATGGCAGACATAAACTTGGCTGCAAATACCAGCAAACTACTCATCAAGCACTGATGAATGACTGAAAACTGATGCAGTCTGGAAATAAAGGTTTCACTTGAAATGTGTTGGTTGCAGTGGTAGGGTACAACTTTTGCTTTGAAAGCAAACATTCCCTATTTCCAGAGAGTGTCGCACTTTCTCGTGCTTCAGTCGCTCACAGTAAAATGGGGAGTATTTGCAGTATTTCATTCAAACTATATACAACTGTGAGCAAATCAATCGCAAGAAGGTTTTCAGTACAGCACTCTTTTTGCAAACAATCACAAGTGTCAACCAGTTACCTACAGCAACCACTTGGGAATTTCTTTGTGAACAGTGACTGCCGATCGCTAACCTGTCTCAAGGCACGTGTGACTGAGGAATTGCTATTTTATATCCAAAGAAAGAGAAACTTTAAATTTCTGTATAAAAATGTCATTAAAATGAACTGACAAGAGTAAACTGTAACTGACTGACTGCGCTGACCCTAAGGGTACTGCAAAGTGTGTTGACATAGAGGGGGAGGGATCTTAAATTTGTTTTTCTAAGATGCTAAATTGCCCACTGGCCTTTTTAATTCTGAAAAATAAAAATAAAAATATAAGCAAAAACCCTTCAGAGTTATTCACATGCACTGAAAACACTCCTCCGCATTGCCTTTGGTTTGTGTGTGTGGACAGCTTCATACCTGGATGCCCTCTGTGCCGGGCTGCTGCAGTAGTTTGACGGTGCGTGTGTGTGCTGTCTTCTGGCCACGGCCGTCGTGCCAGGTCAGGTTGCTGCCTCCGGCGTGACGCGGCAGCTGGTAACTCAGCTCCTCAGCAGACACCGTGTGCTCCAGGGAGGCACGGCAAAAACTGAAGCTGGACGCCGCTGACAAGAGAGCAAAGAAGAAGAACCAGCAAATGAAACAGAAGGAAACAAGCAGAGGAGAAATAATAGCTACTGATAAGCACTCACTTTGTATTTTCTTTACGAAAGGGGTTTTCATAAGGTCCATGGACTAAGAAACAAGAACATCCAAACCTAACAAAAATAAATGATTGATAATCCTCTAGGAGCTTAACAGGAAGCATTCACCCCAGATTACATGCTGTGTGTTCTGATTCTATAACAGCTACAAACAGATGGCTGTTTTGGTGATGGTGGTGGGCAGCAGTGCAACTACAGTGTGATCTCCAATTATGCTGAGTGCATATTCACAGAGGCACCGCATGATTTCTGGAACTGTGTCTCTCTTTCAGATTAGTCCTTGATTATTTAAATCCTACTTCATGAATATTTTATTTTTTTTCTTTTTCTATCTTTACCCCCGTTCCCTGTCAAGACTAAATGCTTGCTATGAGACACTGAAGCAGACAAGTTGTCAGTGCGGGGTCAGAGTATAGTTCTGTGAAGGCCAAAGGGCATCTTCTACAGTTCACATCAAGTTGAATGAGCTATTTTACTGCGGTTAGTCATCTGTAGCCATGGATTTATTTCAAAGCGTAGACATGCAGTCATTGCTCAGTTTACCTAAGCATTGATTTAATGTGATGTAATGCAAATAATAAGAGGCTAGGCGGCAGGAGGCAGTAGAGGGGTAAAAAGGTCAAGAGGGTGTGTAAACAGAAAGAGAACTGATGACAATTAACTGGTTAACATAGTCATTTTGCGGTAATTTAAAAAAACAAAAGTGATTGATAAGAAACCTGCTTATTAGTGGTAAATGAGAAACCTTGTTTACATGCAACCACTGATATTCTGTAAATCATTTATACACTCATTCTTGATTATTTTGGTTCAAACAAAAATGAAATAATATTTACGTTTTGACTGCAAGCTCTTTGCCAGTCGAGTAAGATTTGTTTAATTTCCATTTTGTGGTACACTTATTCAAGTTCTCATGAATGCAAACATCAAATCAGACACTAACATGGTTGCAGCTCGGTGCATTTAGGCAGTGTCAGAATGGGGAAGAAAAGGTGATTTAAGGGACTTTTAACGTGACATAACTGTTTGTAACAGATGTCTGGTCTGAGCATTTAACAAACTGCTGAGCTACTGGGATTTCCCCCCCATCTTTACCATCTCTAGAGTTTCCAATGACTGGTCATAAAAAGAGAAGATATCCAGTGAGCTGCAGTTCTCTGAGTGAAAATGCCTTGTTGATGCCAGAGGTCAGGGGAGAATGGTCAGACTGAGCTGATAGCTAGGCAACAGTAACTCAAATAACCACTTGTTACTACCAGGGTATCCAGAAGAGCATCAGAGAATGCATATGTCAAACTTTGAAGCAGATAGTCTACAGGTATGTGTCCATTCCTGTCAGCTAAGAAAAGGAAAGGCTATAATTCACACACGCTCACCAAAATTGAATAACAATGGAATAATTTTGTCTGGTCAGGTGACTCTCGATTTCTGCTGCAACATTTGGGCGGTGGAGTCAGAATTTGATGCCTGGATAGACTAGAAGAAAGCCAATGACTCAATGGCTCACATGGATCCTAAAATGTCTATAACTATACAAGATCAACATGGTCTTTTGAACAAGTCACCATCAAATGTGGGATATACCAGGATGCTCTGTCACGACTGCTGTTTGGCAAACGGCCTAAAAAACACCCTTAGCCAGATCATCAGCCAGACTGGCTACAGGTACCGAATACAGAATGGAGTAAACATTAACCACCTCCTCTACATGGATAACATCATGTATGTTATAAGTTAAAAACGATATAAATTCTAGGACTAGGATCAACGACATCAAAATGCCATTTAGACTGGAGAAGTGTAGCTGGATCGTAACTAAGAGAGGGAAAGTAGTCTGAACTGAGGGGAATGCACTACCAAAAGGCAACACTGCAGACATCAAGGACAGATACAAGTACCTGAGAATCCCACAGACAAATGTGAAGCACTTGAAAAGAGACCACATCTTTGCTGCAACCACCAAATACCTGCAGGGAATAAGGCAAGTCCTGAAGAATCAGCTGAATGGGAAGGACAAGATCTGGGCAATCAATACCTACATCCTACCACTCACCAGATACCCTGCTGGGATAATCAGCTGGCCAAAGGAGGTGATAGAAGCCACCTACATCAAGAGTTTCACCACAAATGCAGCAATCTGTAACTATAAACTAAGTGGAAGGATGGAGGCCGAGGACTAGCGTGTGTCAGATCCACTATCCAGGATGAGACAACGAACATCCATGACTACATTAGAAAGATGGCCACAAGTGATCACATGCTTAGTACATACCATGAGAAAGAATAGGAGCAACATCAGGACCCATTATGGAAAGACAGGTCCCTGCACTGTACATACCACCGGCAGATAGAAGAAGTGGCTGCAGCACAAGTATGAGCTCTAAGCACAAGCTCGATAGAGGCACCAAACACAACCCCAGGTGCAGGCTGTATAAAAATGTCCCTGAGACAATCCAGCACATAACAGCAAGGTGCAAGATGCTAGGAGGCAGGGCATACATGGAACACAATCAAGCGACTGACATAGTATACAGGAACATCTGTGCTGAGTATGGCCTGCAAGTCCACAAAAGGTCAAAATGGCACACACCCATAGGGTTGTTAAGAATGACCAAGCTAGGGTCTTGTGGGACTTCCAGATACAGACACAACTGGTGATGGCTATTCAACTGGAGACAGTAGTGGTGGACAAACACTTCTACTTCAAACCACAAGTTTTATCTGACTATGTGAAAACCGTTAGTGAGATGGAGACAGACTTGCCGATGATAGAAGTAAAAGTGAAATGTGGAATAATAAATGTTGTATTCATTACTTATTGATCTGAAAGTCTCTTTACAAAAGAAGAACAAAAGCACATGCTTTGAGGGAACAACAACAAAAATGCCATCTTCTGTGAATGATTTCTTAAATTCTTTTCCTCATTCGTCCAAAGAGAGAAGGGAGAAACTGAACTGGGCTGAATCTGATCTTTCTGATGTGTTCATCTATCAGTCTACCAATTTTCTACATTTTTTTTTTCTGTCTTTAAGGGACTTTTGACACTTGGTCATCTTGAAAGAAAGAAAGAATGAAAAGAAAGAAAGTTCATTAACTAACAAAGGATTATAATCTTTCCATTTCCATATTAGAATTAAATAAAGGCCTGCTGAGACCTGCTGTATGACAGCTGAAAATGGTGGGAAACAGCTGGTTGCAGCTCCGAGTCGGGAGGGGACACTTTTTTTTCATCCTACACGTCGGTCGAAGTGAGCAGTGGTGAATACAGAATTCACACAGCCATGATGGGAAGACTAACAAAAGGGGGTAGAGATGAAAAAGAAGAAGAAAGACCTGTCAGGAATCACTGATGTGTAGCCTTTTCTGCTTCTCTCCCTTCGTGTACGGTTTTCTCCCTCTGCACTCTTGTCTTGCACTTCACTCCTGCTTTCCCCATTTCTGTATGCTGCCACTTTTGTGTTTTCTTAAGCAGTATCTTCCTTGTTTCCCATCTTTCTTTTTCTCACTCACTCTCTTTCAGCTTTCTGGTTGTCAGCTCTTTGGGGTTGTCAGGAAAAACCAGGCCCAAACCTGATGTAATTACTGCCAGTCAGGGGGAGGAGACAGGAGGAAGAAACATGGGAAGCTAAGTGCCTCACAACCCTAAAGACCTGCCAATCTCACAAAAAGAGGCAAGAGAAAGTGCACAAGCAAGAGCAAGACAGAAAACAAAGTGAGGCGGGAGAGCCAAGCTGCAAATTAGCATCAGATTCATGCAAACCGATCAAACTTTATAAAGGTGAAAGAGCTCCAGAAGAAGGCAGGGAGACACATTAATAGACCACAGAACAACTTAATTTTACAAGCTGTTAAAGAGCAAGCTTTCAAGGTATAAGATGTAGCAGACATCACTTTTAACAGGATCGTGACTTCCCTCTGCCACTGAAATCCCACCTTTGCCACATTGCCAGGCCTCACCACTTCCGTTACGTACAAATGAAGACAAACTGCTCATTCTGTGGTTTAATGGACTTTGTAGGCTCTCCCTCCTGGGACAGGATACTGCAGAGAATTTAAGATGAGGCAAAGATGATTAAATATCCATACCTTTCAACTGACATCGCTTTTGAAATGACATTGCACCATATCCCTCTACTGCTTGCTTTTAGGGACGCAAAGCTTTAAGACCATGCACGTGCACTATCATCTATCTGTGTTAAAGCCCTTCAGATCTTTATGATCTGGGGTGATTACCACCCTTACCATTAAAAAAAAGGTGTTATCAGTCACCTTTACTTGTCTGTCTCAGCTTGAATTTGATCTGACTCGACAACCGCACTATCTCCACTGTCCTATTTGTCACTATCTAGTGTTGCATTATCTCTCGCTGCCCTTGCTGGTGACTTTTTTTCACTTCCAGCCGAGGGAGTGTTGAGAAGACAACTAATGATGGAGGGTGGATGGTGGGAGGCAGAATGGAAAGACAAAAGCAAGATATGTGTCTTGTGGGTAGCTGAAAAAGAAGATATACAGTGATGGAGTGTAATTTAAGTCTGTACCTCCAGCTTCACATACTGAGAAAAAAGGTATGTGTATAGTGAAGGTGCCAAAATCAAGGGCAAAGTGTCGGACAGGTGTGTGCGTCTGTTGTGTATGTGTGTGTGTAGAGGACAGGTAGGTCAATATGACTCAGCCCAGTGAAGTGTAACCTCATATCACCTCCTCTTGACGGAGCAGCATATCTGCTGTGAGAGTGGCTGCTAACTCTCAGAGGTATTTCCTTTTGAAAAGGTAATTAAGCTGTTAGGTACAGCACCCAGGAAGGTCGTTCCAAGCCAAATCCCTCAGTAGATTAACATGGCGTCACCGAACATTGCTCATTTGACTCTAAAAAAGAGCATCTAAATGAGTCCATGTGGACT